ATATATAGGATGTTTGGTGGGTTGTTATGAGTTTCGGTGGAAGAGGGGAGAGGGAAGGAAAGGGTGATTGTGGTAAGGGGAGACATATGCAGAGAGAGAGAGAGAGAGAGAGAGAGGGTGGGGGGAGGGATACCCGGGTGAGTCTTCAAGATTGTCGATGGTTGATTACTATATCTCCGATGGTGCTTCAATAGTGTTGCTGTGAAGAGAGAGGGTTTTGGTGAAGAGAGAAGAGAAAGGGACGCCGGTGGCTACAGGGGCGACTTAAGTCAATTTGAGGCTTAAAACATAAATATTAAATGAAGGTCTTTAATTTTTAATATTATTTTTTTAAAAAAAAATTAATTTATTTTTAATTTTATATATGAGAGGGAGACAAAAATAAGATGTGTTAATATTGTCGAGAAAGAGATTTTAACTTTTGTTTTTATTTTTTATCACAAAGACGGAGAGAGAGAGAGAGAGAGAGAGAGAGAGAGAGAGAGAGAGAGAGAGAGAGAGAGAGAGTGGGAGTAAATAAGAGTTGACTTTTGAGTATTTTTTTATTTTTTAATTTCTAAGTTTTTAATGTTATGGATTGGATTATATGCCCAAAGTATTGTAATAAAAATTTTGAGAGGCGAAATTAATGTAGGGGACGGGGATGAATTTCAGTCTATTTCCGCACGAGTTTATACAGGTATCTTGTATACTTCCACTATCCAATACATATGATCCATCTTAAATCTAACCAGGACAGATTTTGACAAATACTTATTTTTCTCTCTTCAACTGTCATCCCTAATTACAACGATACAGGGCATTGTTATTAACCAAGAAAATCTGTCCACATTTATAGAATATTTTATTCATTACCTTTGTTTTGTTTCTCTTTCAGATTTTTTCTGCGCCACAACTGTTGGCTGCAGCACCTAATTGGGTTTCTTCGGGGGTAGATAATTGATGCCGACACAATTATATTTTGGGATATTCTTTGAACAAGTCCAATAGTGTGTAGTCTCATCAGTGACAAAATGTCATTATAAGTTCTATAAAATTTTATTACTGCATAATCTTCTGAGAAACATACAATACAAGGGAATACACATATTAAAATGTAACTCTTTTGGAACATACAATACAAGTGCATACACACATTAAAATGCAACTATTTTGGAGTGAAATATCCTCTAACACTTTTTCTTAAATTTTCTTTAATAGGTAAATTGTGCATCATATATGATTGGAGATCCTCTTATAAATAGTAGGTCAAACATGCATAAATGGCAGGAGATATATCCTTTAACGAAATTGAAAGAAAAAGTATTGGAAGTGATTTACAACCGACTATTTTTCAATAGCACTTTATTTTCAGTTATTTATCCTTTTCTTTTGAAAATTACAATAGAGTATATTTTAAGTAAATCATATATTATTTCCTTCTTTGTCCAACACCTGCACTTATATGTTGGAGACTTTGTATGCATTCATCACAGACTTGCCACGCAACTCCTCCGAGTAGTATTTTTCCATAAAATTTGAGATTGTGAATTGACGATAAGCCGCCGGCTTCTCTGGAGACACTACTTCTGATAATGGTCCGTACATGTTCTCTGTCATTCTTGAAGTGAAGAAAACTGGAATTGAAACTCGTGGCTCACGAGAGGGGTTCGCCAACACTCGATGTTCCACACTTTTATATTCATCGTTGGATATCATCTGCACAAGAGAGTTAAACAACCCTAAGAACAAACTTGTCTTATAAATGAACTAATATCTTACTATTTGCCTAAACTGAGAAACTTAGAAAATTTAAAAGAACTTTTCGAAATTACATACAGTTTCTTCAAAATCACATGTGGCTTCCTACAAATTGGACAAGAGCATATATTTAATTAAAACCATTAATTCCTGATTTTTCAGAATATGCCATTGGAGGGTGCCTCCCAAACCTGTCAGAGCTCAACTACAATATGTGTCCTCCAGTTATACCGTGAAATGGTTCAATTTGTTAGAATCTGATAACAAAATTAAATAAACTACTTTCAGGGCTTCTTTAATAACAATTCAAAAAGTAATTGATTTTTACTTACAAATAAGTATAGATTGTGATTGTGGTACTCATAATATGTGCTTCTAAAATATGACAGTTATTAGATATATAATAGGATTAGAAGGAATCCGTCAATATCTATGTAGAGATACGATAAGATCTGAGATCCATTGATATCTAGGACTATTTGAAAAAATATTGATGATAATAGGAATATGAGATTTATTTTTATATTTTGTAATTCTTACCATATAAATAGAGTTGAGCCTCATATAATCAATCACCGAAGAATAACACATCGATGTACCCTATTGGGCATTAAATCCGTGGAAGTAGGCATAGTATGTCGAATTACGTTAATTCTCTGTATCTTGTTTTTCTTTATTTTATTATTTCCGATATCTCTCTGATAATAAATTTCTACAATAGTGACTTAAGAAACAATTATGTCTCTAGAAAGCCATTGAGATTTTACTTTCCGTGTTTCATTTTATTGAATTTGAGAGTAAGGATAATGATTTATTGCTCAGCATATTGATATGAGTAAAACAAGAAAAATATTTTATTCATTAATAGATATGGGTAATGGATATTAGACTTATAATAGTGGTTCATGTACTCTCAGGACTTGTAACTAAGAAAAAGTTTGGCAAACATATGATTGAATGACTTACCTGAAGAATATCACCAATGTTGACAATGAGACCACTAGGGTCAGGCTTCACATCAATCCAATCCTCAACATGTTTCACTTGCAACCCCCTAACCTCATTCACCAACAACACCGTCAACCCCACCGGATCCGTATGCCACTTGAGACCCACTGTCAACTCCGGCTAGGGACAATACGGATAGTAATATCCAGACATATTCCTTCTATCAAAAAATGACATTTCCTTAAACCTCTCACTCTCCACCCCCAATCCCTCACACAGCATCCCTGTCAACACCTCCCCCACCTTCACCAACTCGCTGTCCCACTTTGCCACTATTTCTCTGCATACCTCTGGAGCGTATTCTGGTTCCGGAGGTGTGGGGNATTGTGAATTGACGATAAGCCGCCGGCTTCTCTGGAGACACTACTTCTGATAATGGCCCGTACATGTTCTCTGTCATTCTTGAAGTGAAGAATACTGGAATTGAGACTCGTGGCTNGGAGCGTATTCTAGTTCCGGAGGTGTGGGGCCCAAGCAGACCTCCAGTGAATCCCTCCAATTAGCTTCCTTGCACTTGTACAAATCAACGTTAGTATAGTACGCAACACCATGAGACATGTCTCTACCATAACATTGCATCCTAGTGGTGTCTGGTAATTCATGGAAAGACTTGATAGATGAGAGCATAAGGTCCATGACAATTTTTGGTATGTCATGGTTGATAATTTGGAAGAACCCAATGGTTGAGGCAGCGTGACGGATCTGGTCAACCACTGTTGACCGGGTGCTAGAGAGGTCGACAATGGGGAGTGATAGTTTGGGGTTTCGAGTTGAGGGTTTTGGGTTGGGTGAGTTTTGAGGTGGGTGGTGTAAGATGTGAGGGATAGTGGTGAGGCCTGAATCAACGAGGCCTTTGACTCTGGTTTTTGATTCATCTAACTTTTTTGCTTCTTCGAATCTATTGTAGTGTTGGCATGGATTGGTAGTGGTAGTGGTAATAGTAGTGATCGCCATTTTTATGTTATGGTCTTACTCTCTCTGCGATTCAGACAATGGATAGGATGCAAGAAGTATGTGGGTGTTGCATGTGAAGCAAGGGGAATAAGTGTGCTTTCTATTTATAGTCGAGAATCGTTGAATATTGAGGTTACATTACCAATAGTAAATCTTATGCGATGATCTTTCAACCATGTGTTTTTTTCACACTCCCCCTCTACTGTTATATTTCTCACGTTGTACCTCAAAGTAGAATATTGATTTCACATTACCCCTCAACTATTGCTTTTTTTTTTTTGCACCATAAAGCTATAACTATTGATTTTCATTGCACAAATTGTAGACATTGGAAATCTGTGTTATCCTATAAATCTTGTCATTTTTTTAATCGAAAATATGATGGGCATTTGACTTGGGGGTTGTGTCATATAAATTCAAATAGTTAAGAGAGCAACATGAGAAAGTTAATCAACGGGTCTTTGGTCTAATAATATTCTTTATTTTATGAAGGTCTTGTCTTCTTAAGTTTAAAGGTTCAAGCCTCCTTCCCCTCTCTCTTCCCCTTCCCAAAAAAAAAAAAANTTCTTTAATAACAATTCAAAAAGTAATTGATTTTTACTTACAAATAAGTATAGATTGTGATTGTGGTACTCATAATATGTGCTTCTAAAATATGACAGTTATTAGAGATATAATAGGATTAGAAGGAATCCATCAATATCTAGGTAGAGATACGATAAGATCTGAGATCCATCGATATCTAGGACTATTTGAAAAAATATTGATGATAATAGGAATATGAGATTTATGTTTATCTTTTGTAATTCTTACCATATAAATAGAGTTGAGCCTCATATAATCAATCACCGAAGAATAACACATTGNGCATTTGACTATTGAGGTTTAATGTCAATTTCATCGTACAATTGGATTATCAATCAGTCATTTCTTAGTCAACGATTGTAGCGTAAATTATTGACTATTAAGTTCCACAAACCCGTTGGTTAGTGACTAAATTTAAACGTACAAATAAAAAAGGACCCAGAAACAATTAAGAGCGAATAGACAAGAGACAAGAAGGGTTGACGCTTTTCTTATTAGCCAATAGATGTTGACTATTGGGTTTCTAGAGTATTGAACGTCCGTTTGGTTAGGAATAAAAAATAAAAAATAATAAAAATAATAAAAAATATATTTTCATACATATATTTGATTAGAATAAAAAATTTACAAAAAAATTTAAAACAAAATTATTTTATTGTTTGAAATAAAGTAAAGTTATAAAATTTTTTTTATAATTATCTAAATTATTCTTAATTATATTAAATTGGTCTAAAAAGAAAAAAAATATGTAATTAGAATTGAACATTAATTTTTTTTAATAAGTGGTTCGAAACCTAATTCTAATACAATCACCAACAAAAAAGTTTTTGGCCCAAATATTATATGATTAATCAAATTCATACCAAAATATTTTAAAATTAATAACTAATAAAATATTTTAAGAAAAATAAGGGTAAAATGAGAAGTTAACTATAGATCACAATTTTTCTTGCATTTCCTTCTATTTTTTATAAGAANTCTAATAAAATATTTTAAGAAAAATAAGGGTAAAATGAGAAGTTAACTATAGATCACAATTTTTCTTGTATTTCTTTGTATTTTTTATAAGAAAAGAAAAAAAATTAGTTATTTGTGAAAAAATTCAAGCATGAAAGAAAATTATTTTTTCTATCATTTTTCTTTTCATGCTTACCATACACATTAAAATTTCAAAAAATTTTCTTTCTTATATTTTCTATCGTTCTCCTGCTAAACAAACATGTCCGAAAAGAAAAGGAGAAAACATAGAAAGTAGACAAGATGCAAACCACACAAAGCCATTAGTCGGNGTCTGAAAAGAAAAGGAGAAAACATAGAAAGTAGACAAGATGCAAACCCACAAAGCCATTAGTCAGGGGAAGTTAATGTCCTCCTAACTTAGGTTTTTGTCAATTTTTGCCACCATTAACTTTTTCCCTATGACAAAGAATTTATTCGTGGTATATTAAACCTATCCCTTGTAAAATAAGCTGCGAATACTTCCCTTAATCACTAATATCGAGTGTCCATTATTAATAGTTTTATGTTAGGATGATTTCAATTATCTATATAAAAAAGGGGTAAATTACATTAAGAGTGCCTGAATTAGGTTGCTCGTTTCACATTGTCCTTATATTATCAACTTTCTCACACTAGAACTTAGACTTTGGGTTTGAATTTCACAATGCCACAATCGTTAACTTTTTTTTTTGTTTAATCTGCATAACAAAATAAGACCTGATGATACCTTAAATAAGTTATAAGAGTGAGCTCAGGAAACGAGGTCAGGTCAGGNTGCTCGTTTCACATTGTCCTTATATTATCAACTTTCTCACACTAGAACTTAGACTTTGGGTTTGAATTTCACAATGCCACAATCGTTAACTTTTTTTTTTTGTTTAATCTGCATAACAAAATAAGACCTGATGATACCTCAAATAAGTTATAAGAGCGAGCTCAGGAAACGNTTTTTTTGTTTAATCTGCATAACAAAATAAGACCTGATGATACCTTAAATAAGTTATAAGAGTGAGCTCAGGAAACGAGGTCAGGTCAGGAGGTCTGGTAGGATACGAGGAGCTCAGAAGTCCAAGGCCCGAGCTCCCCTTGGAGAGATGATAGTGGAACTGACCAGGAAACAGTTGGATAACCGCGAAGATTGAGTTCAAAGCATGAGACTCTTAACCAACCAAGATTCGCTCCTAAAATCAAGAAAAATCCCGCTAATGGCAGGCGAAGATCTCAGCTGAGATCCTACAGAATAGGAAATAGTCATATAAATACTATGTAACGCCTCCATAGAGAGGAGGAGAGAAAAAAACCTAATTTCGAGATATACGTAATTGTAATACATTTGAGTGGTGAATAGAGGAGAGGGAGCAAGAGTCTCTATTGAAGAAGTCGACTAGCCGAGCTCCTGAGCCGGTGAACCACTATATTTTCACTATGTGCACTCCTAAAATCCCCTCTGCATTTTGTTCCAACATCACACACGAGCCTTATAGCTCTAATCCACGCTCATCACACGTCACCTGCCCTTTTGCTCATCAACGTGGTTTTACACCATTAGTTTGGCGCCGTCTGTGGGAATGTTNTAGCTCTAATCCACGCTCATCACACGTCACCTGCCCTTTTGCTCATCAACGTGGTCTTACACCATTAGTTTGGCGGCGTCTGTGGGAATGATNTTCCAACATCACACACGAGCCTTATAGCTCTAATCCACGCTCATCACACGTCACCTGCCCTTTTGCTCATCAACGTGGTTTTACACCATTAGTTTGGCGCCGTCTGTGGGAATGTTTGTTCCTGTTACAAATACGCTGATCTTTCAGTGACTAATGGTTTCGACCCGTAACATAAGTAGAAGCTAGACCAATCTACCACGAATGCAAGAACAACAGGAAACCACCAACGATAGATAGGCTGAAAATGTCCTAGGGGTGAATCCCCCAATGGGGAATTCCCACGCAAATAATGAGTTGTAGGCTCTTCGTCTACTTAACCAACGTTTGATACAGTAGAATGAAGAATTCTTGAAGCTCTTGCAACTCCCTAAGGAGGCATGATCGGCCCAAGAAGGCCAGAATAACCCTCCTCACAGAGGGCAGCAACATCTCGACCCCCTCAGAAAAGTTGGTGAATGAGGAAAAAATAGTCAGACCTGGGGACAAGATCCTCATCCACCCCCAAGGAATGGACGCAACGAAGAGGTGCAAAGTCAAAATGTTGAGGAAGAAAGGAATGATTTTTTCCCCTATCAACAGGAGAGGAGAAAGCAATACTGGGAGCAACGTTTTAATAGCATCCAGCAAGAGCTCAATCATATGAAGGAAGTTGTGAAGAACAAAGTTCCAGTTACAATGGACGCCCTAGTACAACAAACTGAGTCGCCATTCTCCGCAAGGGTGTTGCATTTTTCCCTCCCCCAAAATTTAGAATGCCGCAGATAGAAGTGTTTGATGGGACAAAGGATCTCATGGACCTCTTAAATATTTATAAAAACCAGATGGAGCTCCATGGATACCAAGATTCAGTGCGCCGCAGAGCCTTCGCCATCACGCTAAAAGGGTCAGCCCTGACATGGTTCAACAGGCTCCCCTCGACCTCAATCTCCTCCTTTAAAGAGCTTTCTATATCCTTCATATCTCACTTCATAAGAGCTCAGATATATCGGAAGTCGAGCTACCATTTATTGAACGTGAAGCAAGGACCCCCAAGAGAACCTTAGGTCTTATGTCCAGCGGTTCAACTCAAAGTCACTGAAAGTGGATGTCCCATATGAGAAGTTCGCCATTACAGCCTTTATAGCTAGTCTGGGTGTATAGTCCAAAGATCTGATATTCTCTATTTCAAAGAATCCTCAGGCAAGCATGACAGAGGTATTGGCTAAGGCAGAAAAATACATAAATGGTGAAGAGGCCCTTCTCTCAAAAGTGGGAAGTTCATCTACGCATAAAGACAAAGGGAAAGAGGAAAGGAAGGGGACTGAAGTCCTAGAAGAAAAAGAGGGCGTAATAGGTCTCCAAGAAGGGACATAGATCGCTCTCCCAAAAGGAGGAGAGATGTCAGAGATCGCTTAGGTCCGCCACGGCCAGAGCTACAGCCAAGGTATGCACCTCGGCAGCTCCCCCCACTCACCGCAACAATATCTCAGATCTTATACGAGGTGCAAAGCGAGAAGTTTCTAAGATGCTCACCTTGAATGAAAGTAGACCCAGCAAAGAGGGATCCCACAAAGTATTGCGAATACCATATAGATCATGGCCACCATATTGATGATTGTGCCAAATTGAAGAAAAAGATTAAATTCCTAATCTAGAGGAGTCAGTTATGCCATTATGTAGCTCGGAATAATCAGGACCGAGTCCCTCCACCTCCACCACCTCAGCAACAAGCTCCTGTGTTACACCAACATCCCCTAGGCAAAATCAGAG